TTTTTTGGGGGGGGAAGGTTGGGGCCCTTTTTTTTTTTTTTTTTTTTTTTTTTTTTTTTTTTTTTAATTAAATCACACATGTACAGCTCTAGTACTGTGCTAGCACAGTCACGTCTTCCTCTGCTTTCAGGTAACAGAGATTCGACTGAAGTACTTTGACACTGTTCCTGTTGCTGCTGCCATGTGTGTGCTGAAAACGGGGTTTCTCTTCGTGGCATCTGAATTTGGAAACCAGTGAGTAAACAATTTTATGTCAGCATTTTTCCCCTGAAACAGACTGTTTCTGTTCAGGACTGCAAACTGACCCTTGAACTTAGTGAACATACAAAGACAACACCTCTGTTTTAACAGGTAAATTAATGCTTTGTTCGCATGGCTTGAGCAGAACAATTGGTTTAGACTATGACTGAATGGGGGAATTTTCTTGTTGTTTGAACCCTGATTAAATATTATCGTGCAGAGAACAAAAGATTACATGCTGTTGCAGTAGAATTTGGAAGAATTGAGCACTTGCAGTTCATATAGGGTCTATTATATATCCAGATGAATTATCTTTTAATTAGTTTGATAATTTTCATTGAACTTTTGTGTGTTAAGGCCCACTCAGAAGTAGATAGGGTTTGTTAACTGTGATCCTTTCCTTAATAGATGTGTACTTGAGGGCTTTCTCAATTCATGTTTGGCATTCTAGAATATTCTAAAGACTCAGAGAAGACTGCACACCTTTGAAGATGGCTTAACAGTGTCTAAGTGGGGGATTCACAGGAATGGAGATTTACACTTTTTTTTTCTGACTACATCTGCAGTCAGCCACCTGAGGGAGCTTCAGCCAGTTTACTAGAGTGAATCTGAATTGGATTCTGTAAACCAAGCTCTTGAGGAAGCCATATTCATTTGAGCTTTATTAAAACCAGGAAGTAAATCAATCTGTCTTTCTGGTTTTATATTCTTTCCTCTGAAGTTTAACTTGATTGTTGTGATATTTAGGCTCATAGAATGGAATAGGGAATGTGGTTAGAAATAGTGAGGTGAGAGTATTCCAATAAAGTGGATAACTGCGGAGTTGCAGCCTTAGCCATTGGCCTTGCTCCTGGCCTCAGCTGTCAGTTGGTGCTTTGGCTCTAACACAAGAATATCTGAAAGGCTCAAGGGTAAACAGAGAAAACACTGAAACTCTGGGATACCTTGCTGGTGACAGCTACAAACGAGAAGGTTTGGAGGAGGGAGGTTGTGGTGGATTTTTTTGTTTGTGGGTTTTTTTGTTTGGGTTGTTTTTGGTTTTTTTCCAGGCCTCTGGTTGTCTTTAAACATTTTGTCACCAAGAAGACAATCCTTAAGGCTGAATTCGAATAGCTGTATAATGTAGGGAAGGATTTCTCTCCTCCCTGCTGCTTGAGTATCTGGCAAAGCCTTACCTAGAGAAGGCTGCATGAGCTTTGCACTGAACATGCTCTTGCTTTCTGTCTCAAGTTACCTATACCAGATAGCTCACCTGGGTGACGATGATGAGGAGCCAGAGTTCTCTTCCGCCATGCCTCTTGAGGAAGGAGATACATTCTTTTTTCAGCCACGACCTCTCAAGAACCTGGTGCTGGTGGATGAGTTGGACAGTTTGTCTCCTATTCTGTGTTGTCAGGTACGTTGCCATCAGCAAGCTCCTATTCACCACATAAGTAAGTCTTTCTTATTTACAGAGGAATTGATCATAGATGCATGATTTTTTGTTTGCTTTTCTGTGGAGTATTTGTGTGTAAGCAGAGTCACCAAAGCTACATGATCCTAGGTTTCCAGAAATACTGTTGTATACTAAATGCCGATAGAAGAGAAAGTCTGCTGAATTCTCAGACAGCTGCCTAAGACCGGTACCTGGCCTGGCAGCCTTTGATTTCTGTGGTGACAAATATGTATCTGGACCCAGGGTGTCAGCCAGCAGTCCTGTGCTGCTCCTCTGTTGACCATCAGACCAGTTCTCTGCTCTGCAGTGAGTTTGGTTAAAATTTGACATTATTTCAGGGCAGCAGATGGTACACCCTATGGCATCTTCACTGTTTTCAGTGTCAGGAAAAAAAACATTCTTAAAACAGCTACATACGCCACACTACTGCTTTATTTTCTCTTCCTGTGGATATTGTTTGACACTATTTCTCCATGCAGATAGCTGATCTGGCCAATGAAGACACACCCCAGTTGTATGTGGCTTGTGGTCGGGGGCCCCGGTCGTCTCTGAGGGTTCTAAGACATGGACTTGAGGTAAGACTTCCAGCACTTCAGAAGAACAGCTTGAGAGGCAAGGACACTGGGAGAAAATCCTTGAAATAAGGGTGCTGAAATGAAGGGATTCTCCTTTTGATGTAGTCTGGAGAGCAACTTTCTCTAGGCTGGCTTCTTGGAAATAGAAGGGTTGTGCTGTTTGCTCTTACAGTCTCAAAGGCTTTTTCTTCAGTTGACTTCAACCACCTGCATTTTGTCTCTTATAATATTTGAGTGTATTGAGCTGGAACATTCCCGCTGTGTCTGCCAGCTGCTGATCTCTTTGCTGGGGGCGGGTGGCCTCGTTTTAACGCTGATCGTCCAGAGCTCTAATGTTGCCATATCGTTGCTGCATGTGTTCTACCCTGTAGCACATCTGGCACGGGGAGAGAGCATCAGAACAGGGAATTCATTAGCTTTCCTGCCCAGTTGTGGGAAAGCTTAAAAATTGCTGGTGGTTTGATGACGTACTGTAGTAAGTCTCAACATCTGTTTGCAAAAGAACCTTGTTCCTGTTTACTCCTAGGTATCTGAAATGGCTGTCTCGGAGCTGCCTGGTAACCCCAATGCTGTATGGACCGTGAGGAGACATGTTGAAGGTATGCAGTACTTTCCTAAAATGCAGGGAGGTGATGATGTTTTTTGATGTGTTTTGTTTGCTGTGTTTTTTCTCGTTTTGCTGTCCAAGGAAATAGGAAAGGTGCTGCATGATGGTTGTGTGCCATCCTCAAAAGTTATGTTTTGAATCAGCAACCACCTGTTTGTACTTAGAAGCCACCCTCTGGTCCCCTAGAGTTGTCACGTTTCCCTTTGACAAAGAAGCACCTGACTGCAGCTGCATCCATCACACGATATGCTGCATCAGCTGTACATTTGCAGCCTGAAGCTGCTGAACTTCTTATCCTTTCCCACTTCCCATAAGTTCTTGCTCCAAAATCAGCAGGCAATGATTATGCTTTTTGTTGGGAGCATACTCGCTATTCTTTATATGCGTGTTGACAGCTCCAGTAATCAGCTCTTTGTGAGAAAGTGGAATACAAATTATGGAACAAAGAAGATAAATCGGCAACAGTGTCTGTATTTTATTACTTCCCTCTATGCGTATCTGCAAAGAAAACAGTCTATTTGGGCTAGGACATGCTCCCTATTGAAAAACCCAGCAGAGTATAGAACACTGCTGATTCCAGGAAGATCAAGATTTGAAATTGGCAGAATATACTGGACTGTGGGTTTGGTTTGGTGTTTTTGTTTGTTTTTTTTTTCCTGATCTGAAATAATGTGTTTGCCTTATTAAAGTACAAAAGGAAATGCCCTTCCCTTGAGGGCAAGAACCGAGTTCCTCAGAAGCACTGAAAAAGCCTGAAATGAATCTGTTCTGGGTACTGACAGTCTCAGTGATTATTTCCAAGGCAGTGCTTTGTATAAATCTTGCAAAGACTTCCTGTAGGTTTATGCACTGGATATAGAAATGCCAATTGTTGCAGTGGAGACCTTAGCCTGCTCTGGTGATATGGTATCTTGTTTTTAAGTAATCATAGAGTAGCGTGTCTTCTGGGGAGCCAGTAACCCTGTGGGAATTTCAGACCTTGCTGTGAGATTTACCTTGCCCTCTGAGACCTGTCGTCAATTCCTGTGCTCATGTTCTGAGACTCCTGTACTGCCTAAGCAGCATGGAAGCAACTTTGAGCATGAAGTGCCTTCGTGTTCCCCAGAAATAAAAGGGTCAGAAGGAAAGTATTTCCACAGTTCATAGCAAAAATGTGCTTTTCTTAAAAGAGGCATTCCAGTTTGTTAGAGACAAACCTTTGCGCCTGCCTTCTGGAAAAGCAGTTGGTAACATTTGCTCCCTCTGAGAGATGGAGGCTTCTGACATTACCTTACAGTTTTAAAACCTTTTCTCTTGGGGTTCCAGAGGATGACTGACTTAATCAGGAGATGGAGGACCATTGCTAACCTACATGAAACAGACCAGTCTCACTGCCTCTTTTTTCCTCCTTCCAAATTCTCCAGGTTCCAGCATGAGGATCTTCTCGATGATTTCAGAAAGTCTGGAATCTGTAGCTGTTGTGAACCATGCGACTTCTTGAATACAGTTAAAAGCTATGTGAAACTGATCCCCAAGTTACAACTCTCTGAATTCAGAAACAGTTTTAGTGGGTTTTAATCAGAAAGACTGCAGAACCTTTTCAAACATGTATCTGATCTTGAAACTGCCCAAGTGCTGGTTTTTGAGTGTTCAGTTTGCAGTGTTGGGCTGCCTGGCTCTGCCTCGACGCCACAGCGTGCGCGTGCTGCAAGGCCTCTGTAAGACATGTACAGGTTTGCAGCCTTCAAAGCAATTACTAACCTTGGCTGGTACGTGGTGATACACACTACCAATACCAAGCCTCTTTTTTTCTTCCACAGGTGGCTGGTGGTGGAGGTGCTGATCACCACAGGTGTGTACCTACTGCTAGGGGCTACTGTACCATCCCACAGGTTAACCACAGAGAATCCCAAAATCATGGGGCAACTTTTATGCTAAGCTTTTCAGTAAATCAATTCTAGAAGCTGTTGTGTAGCTGGAGATTGTTGCCTTTGTAGTTCAGTCGCTGAGGAGTAGAAAGAACTCCCATTCCATCTTACAGTCTTTGAGGAACAAAATCATTGACTGTGTCTCTGCAGGATGGTCCATTCTCACTAAAATCAGAGGTGTGCGTTTCAGGGGCGTTTTCAGCTGCCTTCTAGACTGAGGGTTGGCTCCCAGCTGCTTTGTACAGACCTCCAAGAGAAAATGATTGAGTGTGCTTGAAGCACTTGTAGGTATTGCTGGCATGGGAATGCCCTGTGGTTATGGGATGCGTCTGCCCATCAGACAGAAGTGGATGGGATTTGGACCAAACCTTCTGTTGCGGTTAAATATCGAGGTCTGGGGAGCTAGATGGCTGTGTGCTTTGCTGTGGAGATAGACGTGAGCTGAGAGCTAACGGTCTTCATTCCCTACCTGGCACTCTTGTGTGAAAAGCAATGTGCAATGAGTCACAGCTGCGGAGTCTCCATGCAGTAGTAAACAGAAGCCCAGGAAAATGTGCTGTCATCCCATCAGTATCGTTTAAGTGAGAATAATCCTGAATTTTGTCACTGCTCATGTGTGTGTTCACCGAACTCTTCGGAGCTAGTGGTGACTACATTTGTATCGGTGCAAATTCAGATGTTGCGGAGCGTCAGAAAACTGTATCAGGCGTGGACTGGCATATAGGAATGGAATTCTCATGGACTAACTCAGACCGAATCCATGACAAATAACGAAAAGGACAGTAGTGTCGAGTTCGTGAACTGAAATGTGATGTTTTCATAACTGGTGGTGACGTGTGCAGGAAGCTGCAGAAAACTTGTAATGAAGGCACAGGAGAGTGAGTCCAGCTGTGGTTCTTCAGAGTCATTAAAATGTCTCTATTACTTGCTGAAAGGAGCTAACGGGAGCACTTAGCACAGTAATAAGCATCTCTAAAGTCTTGTGTCTGCGTACAAAATAATGTCTTATCTGTTCAAAACTCCGGGCAGCCTGATATTATGCTTGGGATTGTGCAGAGCTAAGTAGGTACCTTTTCATACTAAAATCTATAGACCTCTTCTTTTTCTAACTGAGAATGCTTCTCAGTGTGCCCCAGGGATTTAGTCCTCTTAATTTCAACTAGGCTGCTATATTTTCTAAACCAAGATTGTATTGTTTGAATCTAGATGAATGCGTCTTATTCACTGGCTTCATTCTGGTAAATCAAACCCTTTATTTCAGAAGCTCCAGCAGAGAGGCATTAAGCAACACTACTGGACTTCAAGCAAAAATGCACTTGTCACTATTATTGACACAGACCTAAAGGCACGCTCTAATATAACTGTAAGCCAGTGAAAAGAAAGAGCTAAAAAAGTATTAAGAGGTAGGAATGAGTTTTCGTTTAGAGTAGGACTAAAGGAATCTGTTTCACTTTCAAATGGGAGTTCTTTGTCCTGCTCCAAATCACATGGTTAAGCCTCCAGCTGGGACACAGTGGTTTATCATGAGAATGACATCCCCCAGGGAGGAAGGCAGCAGCTCTCAAGAAGTTTGGAAAGCAACGATGGTCTTTGAAATGGAATTTTTAGAACATCCTGTCTACAGGATATTTATGAATTAAATGCTTAGCCTGGGAACTGCTAGAATCTCCGTTTAAAGCAATCGAGGAATTCTTGTAGACTTCTGGTGTTTAAAAATTCATGCAAGTTTGTAGGAGAAGCTGCTATTTAGTGTAGAAAATAACCAGCATGTAACGGCGTATGTCTTACCGAACTCTTACCATCTGCTGTTAACGTTAGAGAAATTCTCCTGTTCAGCCAAGTGTTTAAATAGTTGGCGTTACTGATCGGTTTCTGTGTGCAGGTTCAGTTCTTGTTTTTTCACTTCCTCAAGTGGATCTGCTCCTGTTTGTGGGGTTCGGGAGCATGTTGGAGGTTATAGGCTGTGACCACATAATAGAGTAGTAATGGAGTTTATGCCACAGACCAGTGTTCAAATTGCTTTAATTATACAAAGCTTTTCAGTTTGGTCAGAGCTGTGGTCTGTATGCCAGATGTTGGAGAGAAGGATGGTTTTTTTTCACTTGCATATTTTCAGCTGTATGTAAGAACTTTTGTTATAAACGTGACACAGCAGGTTTGGCAATACCTCCCTCTGAACAGGGTGGATAAGAAAAGGATCAGTTCCCGAAGCATTTGTTTCAGTTAACCCCATTCAGTTTCTTTAAGCTGCTGCGTGGTATTTGCTGGCATCCTGTATTCATCCCAGCGAGAATTCTCTATTTTCTTTTTCTACTTGGAGAGTCATTAGCCACTTCTCCATGTCTCTCACGTTTGCAAATTATGGAGAAACTCCACTCAAGGGCCAAAACTGTGACAGCTTTCTTAGACCCTCACCTCTGCTAATTGTCTTGTGCTGTGGTCTGTAAGTTTGAGCTTTGGGTTGAGTTGGGTTAAAATGGGGAATTTTTTCTTTTTCTTAAAAAGCACTTGCATGACAACAGCAGCAGAAGTGGAGTTGCGTCTCTGAGGCAATCTTATTTCTCCAAGGAGGCTCCTGGCTCCATTTCCCAACAGACTTCATTGTTTCTGTTGCTTTTGTTATTCTGTTTTAATGAGACTCTCTTCTGCCCCTCTTTAATGCCTACGACTTTCTGCAGAATGAAAATGGACAGCAGTAAAGTGGGGCATTCCTTTTAACCCAGTCCTACTACCCTTGTTTCCCACAAAGCTTCCCTATTTCCAAATGAGCTTTTAAGACTGTTTTGATTAGTGTAGCTCTTCTACATCCTAGCTACTGGACTCTCCCAAGCTGTCCCCTTTGGGAGAAGCCAGTACTGGAGATAATAGTTGCAATACTATCACTTATTCCAGTAGAAGTAAAGGTCAGTGTTTGTTTTGTTTTAAAAACGTAATTGTTTCTCATCTCAGGAGACTGTACGGGTGGCTAGTTGAGCTTCTGGCTGAGGGTAGAGCAGGCTAACCCTGAGGTCCTCTGCTGCAATGCACCCCGATGCAATGCACGCTTGACCAATGCACCTCTGCAGCCCTTTATTATGTGGACACTAGATAGAGATGTGATCCTGCAGCCTCCTGTTTGCAGCATCCATGGTGTGGTTTCTGCAGATGGGTTCCATGTGTTCGGGTTATTGGAGTAGAGCATTTGTTTTGACTTCATCTTGTGTTAAATCTGGATTCAGCTCCTTGTGTAGAGGTGGAGCAAGTGTCTTAAAGGCTTCTAGACCTTGTGCTGTCTTTGAAAAAAGGAGGCAGGAGTCTTGCTTGCCAGAATCCAGAGTATCGTGAATTGACTCTGTATCTGGATCATCATTTGATCCTTGGCTCCGTCTTGCATTGTTTGGAGTCTAGCCGTGGCTGGCTTTTGGGCAGTGTGTCCTAGAATGAACTTGCACAATACTGCTAGCAGATGTAATTATCACAGGAGTTCTGCTGAAAAGTAACTACTAGACATCTGTCAGTCTGCTAATTTTGCTGGGAAGCCTTGCATTTATTTAATCAGCACCCCTTTTTTCCCTGTCTCCCCTGACCAGATGAATTTGATGCCTATATCATTGTGTCCTTCGTAAATGCCACACTGGTGCTGTCTATCGGAGAGACTGTAGAAGAAGTGACTGACTCTGGATTCCTGGGCACTACACCCACCTTGTCCTGCTCTCTTCTTGGTGATGATGCTTTGGTACAGGTAATGGAAAGCTGCTTCTGACATGTCTGCTTATGTCTGCCACTCTCTGCTTGCTCCACGGCTGTGGTTTCTACAGTAGTGCAATATATATCATGTCTAAAGTTGTGGATTAGCAGAGAATGATGCTTGTTCAGCCTTCCCCTTTTTATGTCCTGCTAAGTGAAACTGGACCAGCTGAAGATGGTCCTAATCTCCTTCAGTGTGTGCTCAGTAGTTCCTTGCTGTGGTTCAAAGATGCAGTGCTTCCAGCTGGCGAGTGGCTTCGTGCTAGTTCAGCCTGTTGCATAGCTAGTAGATCACTGCTGCCAGGAGCGTTGCTTGCCTTTGGCTTTTTCTGTGTCAGAATCACCAGTGAGATGGGAGTTGTGAAGGGATGGTAAATACAGAATTAATATGACCTTTTTTCCTTCAGGTTTATCCAGATGGGATCCGGCACATCCGAGCAGATAAGAGGGTAAACGAATGGAAGACACCAGGGAAGAAAACAATTGTAAAATGTGCTGTGAACCAGAGACAAGTAGTGATAGCACTGACTGGAGGAGAACTGGTTTACTTTGAGATGGACCCGGTATGTGTGTTAATGTTGTGAATGAGTTTGGATGAGCAAGGCAGAGTATGGGGCATGCCAGAAATTGATCCTTGATCAGACCTGCAGCAAAGGATTCTGTAGTGAAGTGTCCTTTTAGAACGGATAGATTAGAGCCCTGCATATCTGGGCTGTGTCTGTCTGAGATGATTTAATGGCTAATTAAAGTCTCTGAAGCTCATAACTGAGGCTGGAAATTGTGTACTTACCCTACTCCTATTCTGGTTCTTGAAACTGTAGCTGAAATAAGGCTGTAAAGAAATGGTTAAAAAAAAAAACAAACAAAACACACAACCCAAATCACTGTCTTTTAAAAAAAAAAAAAAAAAGTGAGGGGGGGAGGTGTGAAGGGATGTTTCGGTGCTGATTTGTCCTGTTGGCTAGTTAATAAGTCTGTTGTGTTTTTCTTGCTCAGTCAGGTCAGCTGAATGAGTACACGGAGAGAAAGGAGATGTCGGCCGATGTAGTTTGCATGAGTCTGGCCAATGTTCCCCCTGGGGAGCAGCGCTCCCGGTTCCTTGCTGTTGGGCTGGTGGACAACACTGTCAGAATTATTTCCCTTGACCCTTCGGTGAGTAGCTGTTCTGTTTCTGCCTCTTCCCTTGGCTTGAAATGTTCAGAAGGGTACTCCAGAGGTGGGCTGTGTCTGTCCAAGCTGTCTTTCCGTACTCAGGTGGATGACCAGGAGCTTGCATGGCTTCTCTCCACTGGTTGGGAGGAAGCTAACCTGTAACCTTGATCCTAACCTGTAACAGATTCCCTTGTTTTATATAGGTTCACCCATGCCTGGAGGTTCAGCTAATGAGATATGAAAGCATTTTCTTCTTCCCCCTGCCCCATCTCACTGTTTATATCTGTACTAACAGTAGACTCATTCTGCAGGCAGGTCAGCAGCAAACCAGCACTATCATTCCTGCAACAGATGAGTTTTCAAAGGATGACTGAAGTAACATAAACTTTGCTCAGGTCTCTCCTTGCTAAATAACTGCAAACCGTGCGAGAACAGTTTGGAAGGATCGTTTATCTTTTCCAAACCGCAGGGCTGCTACCACTCCTGCTTGCCAAAATCCCCAGAGCCAGCATCTATTGTGACTTTTTTCTTTTTTTCTGTGCTGAATACTTCTTTATGGAGATTTAAAAGGACATCTTTAAGCTCCTTAGATGGAGCTTGAATCCTCTCTTGCAATGCCAAGCCTTGCTGACTGGTGTGGTACCTCTTTTCTGCCTCCCACAGGATTGCTTACAGCCGCTGAGTATGCAGGCCCTTCCTGCACAGCCCGAGTCGCTGTGCATTGTGGAGATGGGTGGCACAGAGAAGCAGGACGAGCTGGGGGAGAGGGGCTCCATTGGCTTTCTGTACCTGAACATTGGACTGCAGGTGAGAGGTGCCTGCCTGCTTCTGACAGGCATTTCTTGGTGAGCCTTCACTTGAAAGGTGGATTGCTAAAACAGCCTTGTCATCATGCAGTGCAACAACACAAAGCCTGACTGTTCCCTCTTTGTTACAACATGCTTAACAACTGTGACTGGGGAATTCACTGTGTGACTTAGTAGAGGTGCAAGTTTCTCTATACATTCCTAGGCTTGAGACTAGTCAAAAGACAGCGTGTTGTCCAAGACTTCCTGTAGGACAAATTGTGCTTTTCCCCTTCCAGAAAGAGGGCGCATGCTAAAAAAAAATTCTGGGTAAAATGTTAGGCAGTTCTTTAGAAAGTGCCTGTAGGCCAGAGTATCAAAGAAGTAACTGCCCACAACCACAGGCTCTGCTCTAATAACTCTGCTGTTGCACAGCTTTTTGTTGCATCCAGTACTGACTCTGTGATCTTTGACCAAAAAATGTTGTTTTGACAATTCAACATGTGGTAAAAATAACCAGAGCTGACTAGGTTCTTTTGCGTGCCTCGAGTTTGATGTCAGAATGCAAGCTCTTTTTAAACAGCATGAGTTTTTGGGTAAATGCTTTGTACCAAGAGGGATTAGGATCTGGAATCAGCCCTTGGGTTTTTCATGGCTTATGTAATGTACCAAACTTCTTGGTCTGTTTTTTGGCTTTTTTTGTTTGTTTGTGGGGGAAGGTTGGTTGGTTTGTTTGTTTTACAGTAATTCCTTTCTGCCCTGCAGGAGTGTGCAGGAGCTATGCTTTTTTTTATTAAGAGCCAATTTAGATACAGTGTGGTTGTAGAAGGCAGTTGTAAACAAGCACCTAATTCTTCAGAAATTGCCTCTCTGTTTCAAATAATGGCTCTAGCTAGTTATTTCTTATCTGTAATGTTGATCTAACTTTTTGGTTTGCTAATGTCAAGAACGGTGTGCTGCTGCGAACTGTCCTGGATCCTGTTACTGGCGATCTTTCTGATACCAGGACCAGATATCTTGGCTCACGGCCTGTGAAACTCTTCCGAGTCCGAATGCAAGGCCAAGAGGCGGTAAGTGAGGCGAGCTCTCAGAGGGGTGCAGATCCAGTCCCCAGGTGCAGCATTCCGGTTTTCCATATCGGTGGATAGGGTGGGGAAGCATCCTTGCAGCACAGCAGGACCCTCTGGGTAAGGGTGGGAAGTAGAATGACTTCATTATGGAGCTGCCTGGCTCGCAGCTTGCTCTTTCACAAACAGTCTTGTTCTTGTTGGTATTCCCCTTACTTCTTACGAAGTAATGTGTGGTGCTGCCCTGCGTTCTTTGAACTAGGACTCATCTGACCCATAGGCTGTTTGCAGTGTATGCAGAAAACTCTGAGCAGATTCTTGGGCTTAGAGTCACTGAAAAACCTCGTCTTGCCTGCCTCTGTGCACAGAGACAGAAAGAGCCCCGTGCAGAAATCTTACCACTTGACCGCTTGATGCGGTGGGTGGTTGTCTCCTGTGCATGTTGAGGATGGCTCAGCCGGGGGCTGGACGGCTGCCATGCATGGTTCAAGGAAAATATTTGCAGGGTTTGGCATAGAGGGAAGAATGTGTTTCATCAGAAGTGCCATTTCCAGGCCTTCTGATGTGGCACTGGGGAGATCAGCCACCCCCTGCTTGACTCATTTTTGGATAACACCTTCGGAGTTGAGAAATATTGCTGGTCAGCGTAGGGGGCTGGATCTGGGAATCTGAGCTCTGCTTTATGGTACACTGGGTGAATCTCTTCAACTTGCTTCTGCCAGCTGTAACATGGAGATGGGGTGCTTTGCAGCTCTAGCAGAGAATGCTTACAGAATAGTTGAGTGCTTTTCTACTTTGAGACCAGTCTTGGTTCCTTGTCTCACGATATGGGGAGAAAAAACATACTGCTTATGGCCAGTCAGTGATGGGCTTGGAGGAGCCTGTCAGTGTTTCAATGTAATTCCAGTTTTTGTTGCTCAGGCAGAAAGTAAGGTTGCACTGAAATGGATTTAGCCAAATGTATAAAGCTGAAGAGTTTAGAAGTCCATTTGCTTCCTTTGTTTCCCTTATTTTGATTGAAAATAGGCTACTGACTATTTTAAGTAAATTTCACTTCGAGTGCTACAGCATTTAGATTGTGACAAAGCAGGAAATATTTATTTTAAAAGGCCTGTTCCCTTTAGAACAGCCTATTGTTAAAAAAAAAAAAAGAGATATGAAAGTATTTGCTGATCTTGGCTTTTACAGACAACAGGTTTTATTACACCTCAGTTTGAGTGTTCATTGTCTTGATAGTGGTTGAAAGTTCCTTTTCCTGCCATACGCAATTTCTAGATAAAAGTGTCTCTTGAAAGCAAGCAGTATCTCTGAAGGTATGCTGTGAGCTGGGTGGAGTCCACCCACAAGAATGCAGTAGTTCTAGTGGGTAAGAGTCCAGCACTGTCCATCCATTCATATTGCAAGGAGTGAGCTTGCCTCCATCCCCACACCTAATAAATTTGTTGTCTGTCTTTCCTAGGTGCTGGCTATGTCAAGCCGTTCCTGGCTCAGTTATTCCTATCAGTCACGCTTCCACCTGACTCCCCTGTCTTATGAGACACTGGAGTTTGCATCTGGTTTTGCTTCCGAGCAGTGCCCAGAGGGCATTGTAGCCATCTCCACAAACACATTGAGGTAAGAACTGATGGAGGGAAAATGAATACTTCTGGGCCAGGATGCCAGGCAGAGGGAGGGGTGGTGAATTCTCACTAGACATTCAAAAAGAAAGAGCTAAAGTGTCTAACCTTAAGATTTAAGGGGTTTTTGAGGTTATTTGATTATGGATAATGATTTGATAGAAACACTTGGATGGATTTCAGAAAACAAGTACAATACAAGGATAGTTATGCTGTCAAAAAGAAATAGGGTGCACTTCTCTGATTTGTGTTTTCCAACTTTTTAAATAACAAATGTAATTCAAGTTATCCTTAAATTCTCTGATCCTTAGAGAGGAGGGAAGCTTTTAATAAATGTGAACCTGTTGTGTATTAGGATCTTGTGGTTTGTGATCTGAATTGGCTACTTTGCAGAAAATAAGGCACGTGATTGAAGAAACCAGAGGCATGACAGGGGTGTATTTGTTGCCTTTTTAAAGTTCAGCTTAAATATTAAAAAGATAAATGAAAATAATAGGGGAACACAAATTCAGGAGCTCTGCTTTATGCACTTGAACAGACGCTTTTTTCATATCTGTCCTCACTGAAATATTACAGCATTCACTGCTTTTAAAGGAGTCATTCTTTCTGGAGAGACTTGTGGTTTTCAGTCACCAAATGCCAGAAGAACTGGCATTTCAGCTGGCAAGTCGCAGGAAGAAAGACTTGGCATTGCATTTTTCATACTCTTTTAACTAAAGTGCCTCTGAGGAGCATTTGATTATGTGTCAAAGTCTGTGTCGCGTTTAGGTTCAGATGATGTGTTCCCCAAATGTGCGCTTTCCCTCTTCCCTGTGCTCTTTGTTCCTCTCGCGATAGACTTGCTTCAGCACCGCAGAAGCCTGTCCAAAGGGGACAGGCACTCGGAACACACCCTGGGTCAGTGAGAGCCCTCGAGTCAAGGAACATGCGCTGCAGAGGACGCCTGTCCCACAGCATAAGCACCCGTTTAGGATGCTAGTTTTGCCCTCCTCTCTGGAGCTGTTTGCTCTCTGGCCCGAGAAAGGTGCTGCTGGTCTCCAGCACTAGCCAGTTTCACAAACATAAAGCTCAACTCCAGTCGTGTTCTCTTGGACAGTTGCTTTCGGACCTTGTTTGACGCATATCACATCTTTGTCCCCCAGGATTTTGGCACTAGAGAAGCTGGGGGCAGTCTTCAACCAGGTTGCCTTCCCATTGCAGTACACACCCCGAAAATTTGTCATTCACCCAGAGAGCAACAATCTGATCATCATTGAGACAGACCACAACGCTTACACTGAGGCCACCAAGGCACAGAGGAAGCAGCAAATGGCCGAGGTAATTGGGGTGGGGGACAGGTACGCACATCCATTCCCCAGAGGTGACTTCTGCAGCTGGAAGTCCTCCCTGCTCACTAGTTTCCACCTGCCGTTGCCTGCAAGTTTTTGTGCCCTGTGTGAATGCAGGGACTGAAGGGAGCAAAGATATGCCTTGAAACACAAATTTCAGCAGAATACACTACTTCCCACTGCTCCTTTCTGTGCGTGTTGTTATGGCAGGTTTTAAGAACCGCGTACTGGAGGACAATACTGCTTGTGTAAGACCATTCTCTGGGTTTTCTGTAGCTGTTTGAGGAGCTCAGGGCAGGTGGAAGCTTTAGGATTCAGTGGCTTTCATGTCTTCACAGGCAGTACCTTGCCCTGGAATAACCTGGACTTAAGGGAAGGGGGGGGTTTTTTTTGGGGGGGGCTATATTTTATGCAGACCATCAGCATGTCTGGAAAGGACATCCACTGAGCTGTTCTTTTCTCCTGTCCTTTAATGTGCCTTAGGAAATGGTGGAGGCTGCGGGTGAAGATGAGAGGGAGTTGGCTGCAGAGATGGCTGCAGCCTTTCTGAATGAGAATCTTCCCGAGTCCATCTTTGGTGCTCCCAAGGCAGGGAATGGACAGTGGGCCTCTGTTATCAGGGTGATGAACCCCATCCAGGGAAATACGTTAGATCTGGTCCAGCTAGAGCAGAATGAAGCTGCCTTCAGGTAAGAAGCATTGCCAGATGCAGCAAGAATCTCTGCTTGTGATGAGTCTTATGTGTTTTTTTCCTTCTTTTGCTCAGCTGTTGCTGAGTTGAAATCCAGATGCAGCACGTTATCAAGAGACTGGCTTGAAATTCCAGAAGTGATTGCCATATGCTTAAAGCTTTTGTCTTGCCTTTCCGTCCCTTCCCACCCTGATCTGTCTGCATGTGACACTAAGAGCTGGTGCTCCAGATGTGCTTGCTGGACCCCAGTGCTTAAAGAACAACACGGGGATGTAAATGACAGATAAGAGCCGGGAACAAGAGAATGTGCTGCTATCTCTCACTTCCCCTTCTCATCCAGATAAACCGAGCATAGATTAAATGGACAGGAAGTGTTAGAGGGACTGGAGGGGAAGACCAACACAATAACCATGAAGAGCAAGTGCTTCAGCAGGTGAAGTGGAGTTAGGTCATGCTAAGTCCAAAAGGCTGGCTCTGTCCTGTTTTGTCCAGGATTCCCAACCTGGCTCAGCTAGGCACTGGGCAGGAAATAACACTGGAAGATGAGGAAAGCTATATGTACATGTCCAAACTGGAACAGCCTTTGAAAAACAGCTTCTAGTGGAGCTTTGCACATTGCTAGGCAGTGTCCAGCCTGTGAAAGCATAAAATTAGTGCTTTGGGCATCTGTGACGGCTAGAGCGCAACTCCCCCCACACTGGGGAGTGTGGAAGAATGGAGGAATCTGTGTTAAACTTTTCTGCAGGGAGGAAAAATGACCTCTGAAAATGTCAGTGTTGGAAGGGTGGGCTCCCAGATCTCTGCCTGGCTAGGTGCAAGTTGTGCTGTCAGGGAATCCAGTCCGTATGTGCAGCATTGGTTTGTGTCGTGATCATGCTGATCTCCTGGCACGTCTTGTCATCCCCAGCGTGGCTGTGTGCCGGTTCTCCAATACTGGCGATGAGTGGTATGTGCTAGTGGGAGTTGCCAAGGACCTGATTCTGAACCCACGCTCGGTTGCTGGGGGATTTGTCTACACGTACAAGCTGGTGAATAGTGGTGAGAAGCTGGAGTTTCTGCACAAGGTGAGAGGGATGAAAAGGCCTGTTTGGGTGACTGGGTCATTTACAGGCAGTATTGGAATAGCTGTTATTTCACTATATAGCTAATGCTATAGCAGTACTGCAGTACTCAATGAATCCTGGGCAAAATCATCACGCTGATATTACATGCTGGAAGCAGCCTCAGAGAAAATAAGTTGCCTCCTCCAAAATCACTTGGGACATCTTTTGCAGAGCTGAGAATTGAACACAGATCTCCCGAGAGTCCCAGTCCTTTGCCTTAGCTGTAGTCTAATTGGGTAAATGGGAAAGGAGCAGTGTTTTTCATGCACCTGTTAGGGAGGAGAGAGAAACAGCTCTCTTTTTTTCTTTTTGGAATATGAACTCGGAGAGCTGCTCTGAGCACTTGTTTACAAAGTGAATTCATACTTGGGTCACTTGAGCCCCGGTGCTAAGGCTCTCAGTCCTTGGCTGGCCACATGAAGCTGGTGTGAGCTGTCATCTTTCCTCTGATGCTGTTTTGGTTGTGTGTAGAAATGATTAGTCGCCTAGTGACCAGCTTGCTGGACAGGTCTCTGGGGCTTTAGCAAAGGTTTCAGGAGAACTCCGTTAAAACAAAATTCTGTTCTTCAAAACAAAATTCTGTTCTTCTTCCCACGTGCTTCCAGCATGGCCGAGATTTGAGCAGATGAGCACATGGAAAGGAATGGTGTGGCTTATTCACTTCCTACGGTCCTGATGCTATGAGTAGGTTCTGTCCTGGACCTTTTGTGGTGCCACTGCACACCCACTGGGAAGTTGACAGAGCTGATGATGTGAAATAACTTCTCTTAGCCAGTACAACCAAGCTGGTAACGCTGTAACTGGAAGCTCTCTACATGTTCGCATTCTCTGTTGTGGCTGATCCTTTTGGATTGATTAGTAGTGGGAGATTTTTCAGCCCTGCCTGAGTTACTGGAATTGTGGGCACACTGTAGTTGTTCAGATTGTAACGCTTCTTCAGTGGCAGCTTCAGAGCATCTATGGCAGATGGCCGAATTAGATTCATGCCTTTGTTTTAAAAACAGACAATCTGGATGGATTTTAGGCAAAGCACAAAATCTTGCTGTTGGGGATAAAGCAAAACTAAGAACCAAGGCAACGAGATCCTTGCCTCCCTTTGCTGCCTGCCCAGCATGGGGTTCTTACAGCAGTCCTACGCTTCAGTTAAGGCGCACTGCCAGCAGTGCGTTGTCTGTGTAGTGCCCAGAGCTCTGTTAGCACCACCTGTGGTGTGTGCTGCTGTCAAAAGGCCTACAGAGGACTGACCTTTACCCCCTCCTGTAGAAAAAGATTGTGATTAGCCTTTTGCGTTGAAAGCCTTGGCACAGGCCAACGAGCTTCAACCGAACCATTAGCTGAATCCATTCTGAAACTTGGTGTAAGGTTAGCTCTGTTAATGGGGGTCTCACAGTCATCATCTTCCCTCTCTAGACCCCTGTGGAGGAGGTTCCTGCAGCCATTGCTCCATTCCAAGGTAGAGTCTTAATTGGAGTTGGAAAGCTCTTGCGCGTTTATGACCTGGGCAAGAAGAAACTGCTTCGGAAGTGCGAGAATAAGGTACTGGCTTTTGTTCTTGACCAGGGCTGTTAACTTGCAGCGAGTGATGGTTTGCAGCTGCCACTCCAGCCCAAGTGTGTCTGTGCACTTGGACTTCAGAGCTGTGTCTGTGCCTTACTGGTGTGCATCTGGAGCAGTGTGGGCAGCTCTGGCTGGCCTGGGCTGTTGTGCTGCCCCTCTGCATCCCGAGCACGCATCTCTTTCCCGTTGCCGTGCACATAGTAGTGTTGCAGATTCCTTTTTGTACCAGCTCAACGCAGGCTGTTAAGGGATGTGTGCAGGAGTTTCACAGGCCTGTACAGACGGTGCCTTTGGCCATCTGCTGCAAATATGAAAGGTCTTACCCAGATACAAAACAACTGCTGGAAATGTTTCCTTAGGTTAACTGATCAGCAGGCTGGGGACGGAAGTTGGAGGATGCGTATGAGCACTGCTTCAGATCCCCAGAATCTTGAAAAGCGGTTTTTCTGCTTGAAGTAGATGATCCTTCTTGCTCAGCATCTCTGGTACTTCAGGAAAAGAAATTGCAGAGCATGGTTTTCTAACTCTTAATTGCCTGCTCCTCCCTCTCTCATGCAAGCTGCAGAACCTGTGCCAGTTGCTCATTACTGCACAAAGGAACTCCAGCAAGCTCACAGGCAGACTGGGAACTTGTAGGGGAACATTTTTTTTTGTGTTGGGTGTTTTTTGTTTTGATTTTGTTTTTTCCTAAAATGAGACTCGCATGAAGAATTGAAGCTTTCCTCCTTGGGTCTTTCATGGCCCCAGTAGTGAGGGGACACTGAAGCAATGCCTGCTTGCAGGAGTGTCCCTGCCATCTCAGTTCATAGGCTCACCAGCAGTGCTTGTTCTCTGGACATTACTCGTATTCAGCAGGCTGAGAATGATGCGTGGTGGCTGTTAGGTTGCAAGGACAGTGCATTTAGATTGGGGCTGTAGCATGCCAGAAATTAGAGGTAGTTTGGGAGGGTATGATGGGAAATGGGGAGCGAGCCATAGCTGACAGGGGGAAATAGTATTTCAGCTGGAGTAGGGTAGAGTTAATGGGATACACTTCCCTGTTTGAAACACTCAGGTTTGTCCTTTCTCTCTCAAAAGCACATTGCCAACTACATTTGTGGGATCCAAACCATTGGGCACAGAGTAATTGTTTCGGACGTTCAGGAGAGTTTCATCTGGGTGCGCTACAAAAGGAATGAGAACCAGCTGATCATCTTTGCTGATGACACTTATCCCCGGTGGGTCACTACAGCAACTCTCCTGGATTATGACACTGTGGCTGGAGCAGACAAGTTTGGCAACATCTGCGTGGTGAGTGTGCCTCGGAGAAGTTGGGGCTTTTTGGACACGACATATTTTTTTCCTTAAAACATCCATGATTTGTTTTGAAAGAATGAGAATCTGTGCTTAGCTGGAGACAACGCCCTGTACCATTCACTTGTTTTTACGGGGTGACTAGCTGTCGTCATAGCGGACGGCTGCAGCCTATCGGTTTAATTAAAGCAAACAAGTTAAAACGTCAGCAGGTCAAAAAACATATTTCTGAAGTATTCAATAACTTGTGTTGAAATTGCCTCAAAACTTGCCGTGAATAAGCCTTGAAATGAAGCTTCTGACTGTCGGAGGGCCCATGAGAGCTTGCATCAGGGTTATCACTCTTACTTTCCCTGACTAAACCTTGTTGCTGGCATTTAGCTTTCTCTGTCACTTCCTCTCGAAAGTTGGCTTTGTCGGTGCTGACACTTCCCCACTTGGCTGGATTTCAGCAGGGGAGGAGGAAAGAATAGATGATCTTTCTGCCAGAGCTTTGATCTCTTTCTGAAGCGTGCTTGGGTGCTTAGGAGTCCAGAGTTCAGCAAGTGTCAGACTCTGCGCCTGCAGGATTTGGCCAACGCACACAAATCAGTCCTCTTCGGTTTTCCTGCCCTGCATCCATCAAACTGTTTCCTTAGCAGGAACCACCTTCAAACCATTTTCACCATACCTCCCAGGGTGATCTGCAAGTGCTGGGCCAGGCAGAGGCCAGTCACGATGGTCCTGCCCATGTTTTTGAGTGAGAGGCCATCGGTCTTGCTGACCCGGTTGTCATTTAACTCTAAAGGCCTTGTTGGAGGGGCAAATGGATGGTTTTGCTGTAAGTGTGCAGTGATTCTTGTAGAGTCCACGAAAGCAGCCTTTCGAAGACCACAGGGATTCTCTGGAGATAATGTGCTGCTTCTCTGCAGCTTGTTGACTCTTTCTTCCTCTTTCAACACAGGTGAGATTGCCTCCCAACACCAATGATGAGGTAGATGAGGATCCCACAGGCAACAAAGCTCTCTGGGACAGGGGGCTTCTTAATGGAGCATCCCAGAAGGTAATGCTTCATGGGAAGCACGGGGTTATTGTGGGAAAAGAATACGCTGCTTTTCTGCGAAGTTCTCTGCGGTGTTGTCCCGGAGATGTATTGGCAGTTCTGCTCCTACACATCTACCGCGCTGTGGCTGATCGGTTTTCACTGTCACTGGGAGCCAAATTCAGTTTCTGAAATCACAGCCGGTGCCTGTTCACTGATGTTTGATTGAAGCAGCACACTCATTTTCTTTTCCTGCTTTCCCTCATTACTTGCATCCGTTTGTCCAGCTCAAGAGGGTAATTCAGCGGCATGCTGAGTTTTGCCATCTGGTCACAGGTGGAAGGCACTTCCTCTTTAGAGAGGTGTTTCAGAACTTAGCAGGTGGCTGAATTTATTCTGCTTTCCTCTCTCAAGCCTTTTGATGTTTTTATATAAGCTAAAGAAAAAAACTGCTTCTGTGGTTGACTTCCAGGCTGAAGTGATTATGAATTATCACGTGGGAGAGACGGTGCTTTCCTTACAGAAGACCACGCTGATCCCAGGAGGCTCTGAATCTCTTGTCTATACCACCTTATCCGGGGGGATAGGAATCTTGGTCCCTTTTACTTCCCACGAGGTAAGCAAGCCCCATGACTATGCTGCAGAGTCGCTGCTTTTCTGTGCGTTCATCCCCAGCCAGTATATGAACATGCTGCATCCCTTGGGGGTAACTCTAGGGCTTTGCAGTGCGTGAAATCCTGGGCTGCAGGAAAGCCTGCGGCTGTGGGACAGGCTCTGATGCAAAGGGGAAGAGAAGGAGCTTGTTAACTCCTCCTCCTACATTGAGAGCTTTTCTTGTTGCACTGCTGTTCTAAATCTGTCCATGCTCCAGAGGAGCTCTTGGGTGATTTAGTGTCTATGAGGAGAGGGATCCTTTGGCATGCGATCAGGCACTGATGCTTCAAGTCCTGAAGATGGTGTTCTCCTCTGTTTGCTGTGGCCTCCTGGAGCAGCAGATGCCGAGCCATTCGCTCTTTGAGCTAATGGCAGTGTTTCAGCCAGCGCAGGAGCACCTGGCTGATGGGTGTCGTCTTGCCTTGGCAAGTGGCATTGATGTGTAGCAAACTGTTCTCTTGTCGATTCTTAATCTCCCCAGGATCACGACTTCTTCCAGCATGTGGAAATGCACTTAAGGTCTGAGCACCCTCCTCTCTGTGGACGAGACCATCTCAGTTTCCGCTCCTACTACTTCCCGGTGAAGGTAGGTCTGAGTATTTAGGATCAGCTGGTCGTGGGGGTGTGGAGACTTGCTCTGGGACACAGAACTGCTTCGAGGCCTGGCAGAAGCAAGTCACGGTTGCCTTTCAGTGGGGAAGGCTGGGGCAATGTAAACCATAGCTGGTGTAGGGACTGTGGCAGGAACTGAAGTGCTCTTGAATAGCACTCTGTAAGGAGAGAGCAGTACTTGGCACTTAATACCGTGCCTGTTTTGGTTTCTCAACCCTTGTAATGAGCCTTCTGAGGGTTGGTCTTGAGACCCAAGCCCAGAAGTGATGTTGCTGCGCTTCTCTACTTGCCGCAGCATCTCCTTTTTCCATCAGGAGAAGCAGCGTTACGTAGCTGTTCGCGTGGCTAGGTCAAACTGGGTGTTGCCCGGGGGATATATTTTTTCCGCCACCATTGAAAAGGGAAATCTCATAAGAAACGGCTGTTCCTGCCTATTTCTGCTTTTGAGGAATTGTGTTTGAAGCTGTCGACTGCTAAATGCTGTGACCAGAAGGGTCCAGAGTAACTATGTGGTAACTACTACCGGAGTCACGCATGTAGTGTGCCGGAAAACTGTCCCAGCAGCTGAAGCTGTCCAAGCGCAGAGGGTGTTCTTGCTCCTCATGAGCTTGGGGCTGATTTGCAGCATGCACAGTCTCAGAGATGTTTCGCATCTGACTGAAGATGCCCTTCAGTCATCTTCTGCAGGCTTCCCAGCACAGTGCTTGGACCCAAGTCAGATCTGTCTTCCCTTCCCTTGTGTGATTCTTCAGCTGCACCCAGGCTTTTTGGGTTTCTCCTTTGTTAATCAAGCTGGCCAGTAATTAATTTGATGCGAACCGCTGCTATTCAGCAGATGAGGTCACCAAGCATGGTCTTGTTTCCAGGACAGGATTAAGAAGCTCCTGGGAACAAACTGTTTGTTGCCATTTTCCCCTGTTTAAGCAGGGTTCAGTGCCTCTGTGTTGTGTCGATTCAATGCTGCTCTTCTTGCCCCTCCAGAATGTGATCGATGGGGACCTGTGTGAGCAGTTCAACTCCATGGAGCCTAACAAACAGAAGAATGTGGCCGAAGAGCTGGACCGGACCCCACCTGAGGTGTCCAAGAAGCTGGAAGACATCCGCACGCGCTACGCTTTCTGAGCGGCAGCTCGCGGGAGCAGAGCTTCTCGCTGGGCTCCTATGGACGCTCTACCAAGCACAGTTGGGAGGAGGAATGTGTGCGCTTTTTCCCTTTTTAAATATTGGTTTGCTCCCCTTGGTTTTTGTTTCAAAGTAATGTGACTCCAGTAAATGCAGTATCAGATATTAGGTCTCCCAACACATCCCGCTGCTTACACGAAGGCTCCTGACATTCTGGCGTCCAGCCAGAGAGATTTCCTCTGGGGAAGTGCCCGAGGGCAGGCGCAGCTGGCCCTCAGCCCCGACTCCTTGGCCCGCTTCTCCCTTTAGGCTGAGGGAGCCTGAGGGTGTCTTCTGCTGGCCTTGCAGAAAGCCCCGTAGGGCAGATCCAGCTGGGAGCCTTTGTAGGATCAAGTGGGTTTTGCAATTTCCCAGCTTTTTGGTAAAGAAAGCGGCTGTGGCGTGACTCGGGATTACCTGGCTCCTTCTGGTAGTTGGTGGCGAGGAGCTCTGGGCTTGTACCAGCCCTGGGAGCAGCCTGGCTGTGTGGAGGGCGTAGCTGTCACACTTGTCTTGAACGTTTTCTTCTGAATTGCAAGGGGTTTTTGGACTCACCATTTCTGACTGTTTTCCCTGTAAATAGAGTTTTGTACAATGTTGACTCTCTTGGGGGTGGGGAAGAGTGAGGCCTGAGTCTGGGACTTGATTTGTTTCATAATAACTTTGGCAAGAGCCGTGTCTCCAAGCTGTGACTGTGAGCAGCACATGAAGAATAAAAGCCTGGTTTTTTTTAACTAGCCTGACTCTGGGGCTCCTCTCCTTCGCAGCAGCTGTTGCTGACCTGGCGGGAGGAGTACAGAACGTGCACGCCCTTGACCCCGCGCCCTGCGTGGATGCCGGAGCTGTGCTGCGGCCCTGCAGGTGTTGGCCAGGATGCCAAGCCCCTCTCCGTCCCCCTTCCCTGCCTCCTCTGCCTGGAGCTGGCCCCGAGCCCGGCAGCGTGTCCTGCAGCCAGCGCTGCCGCTCTCCAGCGCTGGGACACACGCAAAGCGGGGTATGTGGAGAAAGGGTGGGAGGGAAGGGTCTCTTCCCCCAGCTACTGTTTCTCCAGCCCTTCCAGGGCATGGCTGCGGCTCAAGGCTCCTTCTCTTGCCCTGCGAAGCAGCTGCAGCTCCGGGAGGAGCAGCCGGCGTGGCAGGGGGAAGGTGTGGCTGCCCGCTCCCTGCCTGCGAAGGCCGGCGGCCGGAGTTCACCACGCAGCAGGTGCTTCCCTGGCTTACTCCTGTGAGTAGGTCTGCCTGCGCAGCCCAAGAGCTCCCTCGATGCGTGCATCCCCTGAAGGGGCCTGGCCTCCCCGCAGCCAGCGCTGCTCCCCGCCCGGGGCTGGGAAAAGCGGGTGGCCCCTGGCCCGCTGACGTGCTCGCATCAAGCGGCCTCCGACTTCCTCCTCTGGCGCGGGTGCGTGCGGGGTGAGGGTGAGCGCACGCCCTCCCCCCCCCGTCCTTTGCACCCTCCTCTCCGCTCTCCCGCTTCGCCTTGTTCTGAGCCTGCACCCTTTGGCTCCGATGTGGCACCCAGCCACCGCTGCTCGCCCCGCCCGTCCTCCGCCCGGAGGTGAAGGGCTTTGTGCTCCCTTCCCGCACCGTCCCAGGCACGGCTGCGTCTGGGGAGCGGTAAATACACGAGCCGAAGGCGGTGGGGTCGAGCCCGGGGCTTGTCTGGAGGAGCAGGTGGGCTGCCCTGGGAGCTGGCTGAGCCCCCAGGCCCCTTTTGCCTGTGGGGCTCCAAACTGGGGTCCCACCAGCCTCCCTGGGGAGAGGGGGGTTTCTCCCAACCCTGGCCCCCTGCAGCCGCAGGGTGCTGGGCTCCTGCTGACGCCTGGGAGCAAAGCTCCCGGGGCTGCGGGCTGTTTGCCTTGGGCTCGCACCAGTGGTGATTTCCAGCCCGGCGCAGCCAAGGCGGGCAAACAGCCTCCAGCACCCTGCTGCGCAGCTCCGCACTTTCCCTTCTCTTTCCTCGCCCCATCCCGGCTGCCAAGCTGATGACTACGTGGGCAGGGAATGCTATTAAATGGCTTCCTCTGATGCCTGCAGCAGATGCGGGCAAAATCCCTGCGGACACCTAGGTGAGGAGCTGGACCAGCTCCTTCCCCCGCTCGGAGCTGAGCATCTTGCGCCCAGCCCGGAGCCGGGAGGGCGGCGAGGGCTGTGCCCAGGAGCTGGCCGGGGCCGGGGGCAGCTTGGCAGGAGAGCGGCCCGGGCCCTGACTCCCTGCCAGGGGAATCCCAGCAGCTCTCCCCGCATGCAGAAGCGCATTCCTTCCCACGCGTTTCCCTGGGAGCGCTGACCCGCTCTTTGATAGCTGGTTTCTCTCACTGACCCCTTGGACACCCGGCAGCCCCGGGCGCAGAAGCAGCAGCTCTCCCAAGCGGCTTTTTTGGGGTGGCGGGGGGGAGGACAGTGTCCTGTCCCCACCGTCCCCTGCTGCTGGCAGGGGCTCAGCCCCAAAGCATCCTGAGAAACCAGCGTGGGCTTGGGCCAGAGGGAGCGGAGTCCTGCTGGCCCGGGGACAGCCAGGGATCCCCCAGCCCCCCTGCGACGGCTCTGGGCAGCCTCCCCTGCCCGCAGCGTGTGCCGGAAAACGCCGGGCTGACACCGCCCGTGGGTGCCCAGCCCAGCGAGCGCCCTGGGACACCCGCCCGTGGGTGCCCAGCGCCCTGGGGGTGCCGGTGCTGGGGGAGCTGAGCGCCCTGGGGAGCCTGTGGCTGGGCAGCGTGGTGAGCTGAGCACCCCGGGGTGGGTGTGGGCACCCAGCTGGGTGGGGTGAGCACCCCGGGGGCATGCTGCGGGGCGGGCCCAGCACCCTGAGGGGCAGGGGGCACGCAGCGTGGTGGGGTGAGCACCCCGGGGGCACCCAGCTGGGTTAGCTGGGCACCCAAGGGACACCCGGCTGGGCTATCTGCGTACCCTGTGGACACCCACCTGGGCTAGCTGGGCACCCTGGGGACACCCAGCTGGGGCAGTCGAGCACCCTGGGGCCACCCAGCCCAGGTAAGCTGAGCACCCTGGGGACACCCACCCAGGCTAGCTGAACACCCTGGGGACACCCGACAGGGTTAACTGAGCACCCCAGGGACACCGGGGCAGCCGAGCACCTCGGAGGCACCCAGCTGGGCTAGCTGAGCACCCTGGGGACACCTGACTGGGCTAGCTGAGCACCCTGGCGACGCCCAGCTGGGCTAGCTGAGCACCCCAGGGGCTCCCCTCTGGGGCAGCCGAGCACCCCAAAGAGCAAGGAGGGATCCAGGAGGGCTAGCCGGCACCGTGGGGACACCCGGCCGGGGCAGCCGAGCGCCCTGGGAACACCCACCTGGGTAAGCTGCGCAC